ACCCACCTCCTGCGCCGTCCAGGCGTGGGGGTCGGCGAGGCTGTGGGGTCGGTGCAGGCAAGCCTCGACGTCCTCGGCGCGTTGGCGGACGTGGAGTTGGAGGAGCTGGCCACCATTTTGAAGGATGACACGTTGCACGCAGCTCTCGCGCAGCTGAACACCCATGATGGCAGTGCGCAGCACACGCAAAAGGAGCTGCGTGCGGCCATGGCCACGCTTGTCGACAAGCTGGCGTCCGCTCCTCGTCTGGAAGGTGACGAAGCTGACGATCGCCAGCAGTCGGCTTTATTTGATGGGCACGGCCTTGCTGCCCCTGCTGCTCTGCACCTCGGACCCAGAGTGGTGGGTCGCCAACATCCCGGAGGGCGCCTCCGACTCCACCTACCTCCAGGAGTGGCGCAGAAAGGGCAAGGATGCCGACAGGATGCAGAAAGCAGTGGCGGCCCTCCTTGCCGAGCAGCACGAGGAAGACAACCAGCGGGACCGCGGGAACGCAGCCACCACACTCTTCAAGAAAAGACCAGCGATCCAGAAGGCTAGCTCCAGTCCGAGCCCTGCCCCTGCCAAGGGCGACAAGAAACGCAAGGCCTCAAGCTCTAGCTCCCAGGACGGGAAGAAAAAGAAGAAGGACAAGTCCAAGAAAGCAAAGACCTCCAAGAAGAAGCGCGCTAAGTCATCCTCCTCGAGCTCATCCTCAACCTCTATCAAGAAAGACGCACAGAAGAAGGACAAGAAGAAGGACAAGAAGAAGCGAGATGAGCGTTCCGCGTCCCCTTCCAAGAATTCGCATCGTTCTGCCACGGAGAAGGAGGTCCGCCTGAGCATTCATCGGATCGGAGCTGTGTCGCCCGAGGGCAAAGCCATTGTGAAAGAGACGGACCCCGTGGACAAGGTCCAGATCAGCGACACCAACGAGACCGTATCCTCAGTTGTGTTTCGACTTATGGACGCCCAAGGCAGCCAGGCGGACTTTCCCAACTGGGACATCCGCGTCATGGACGACGACTTCGTGGTCCGCGCCTTGGACGCCGCCTCCGCCCTCGCCAGGGACAACCCCAAGGTTGTGCTCGTGCGCAAGGGAGGCTGATTGCCCGAGGATTACCATAATTTCCTGCCATGTCTGCTGCGTTGAGGACAGAACAGCCTCGACCGCGACTGGTCACAGCAAACGTTTTAACTTGTCTTCAGCCAGGGAGCCAACATGCAAAGTGCTGTTGCTGCTGCTTCAAAATCCAGCGAACACAACACACGCCGTCCGTCTTAGCTGCGGGGTGCCTACTCTCGCGCATGTAATTGGGGAAGCTGTCGGTAGTTCGGTTCCTCATGCACTCGTGACTCTGCAGCACTGGCTCTTGCTGTGGCACAACACCTCGGTGACTTCCTTATTCTACTCGCGGCAGGCCAGGCTCACGTAGCTGATTGTGCAAGAGCGTTGCGGCAGCCCTTGCCAGGCACCATCATGCTACGCAACCTTGGCGCTGCTTCGACTTGGGTGTCCCTCTTGATGTTGGGCATGGCAATGCTTCTTGCTGCAATAACAAAATCCGACTGGGCCCGAGCCTTACTGCTTGGGGCTGACTCCCGGCTTCTCACGTTTACTCTCTTGCTTGCTGCGCCCCTGGCAGGACTTTCACATGCGTGGAGAAGCGCGTTATCCCGATGGACAGATGACCTGGGCATTGAGGATCACAGGTACGCTGCTCTGCCTCACATTTACTTGAATACAAGTTTTCAACACGCCTTTCACATGCGGTCTGACTGCTTTTTCCTTTGCAGGCAGTACAACAACGTTGAGGCTGCTCCCCACACCTGGTCCTTCTACGACGCCGGATCTCTCCACAAGCAAACAGGCACCTTCGCTTCGAGGCGCCGCACACTCTACAACTGCATCGCCGGCTTCCTCTTCAATGGCTTGGGTGTCGACACCAACAACGACCAGTCCGGCAGGTCCACGGGACGACGGCTCCCAGGCATCCCAGCCTGTGCGGCGAAACCCTGCAGCCCGAGCTACTAGGCCCAATGAGGCCTGTCCGGGTCGGCCTGGGCTGCCGTGCACCTGGCACGCATCCCACGCCGGTGGTCCTGCCGCAATACATCCTGAGAGAGGGGAACAACGTTGCCCCTTGTGCTCCAAGCTCAGATGCGGGCGCTACACCGCACCACAAGGGGCAAGGGGTCTCTGACCCTGCGCTTGAAGCAACTGTTGGCCGTGCGCTCCAGCTGTGCCAGGGATCTCTGGGCTCGCGTTGAAGAACACCTCGGAGCTGAGTCCGTGCAGTATTACCAGCGCCGGGTCGCCCCCACAACTTGCCAGGGACGCCCAGATGCGCCCTGTTCCTGGCACCCCACCCAGAGCGGCGCCGCCGCCAAAGTGAATCCAGCTCAAGGTGTGTTTCGCTGCCCCCTTTGCTCTGCAGCGCAGATGCAAGCGTTACATCGAACAGCACGCGGAAAGCAAGCCCTCACTCTACGATTGAAGCAGCTTCTGGCCCTCCGGTCCACTGATGTCCTCCGGCTGTGGGCTCTGGTCGAGGAACATCTTGGTTCAGCCGCCTTGACGTACTACAAGGGTCGTGCCGGCGCAGAGCCGAGGAAGACTTTACAGCAACAGTGGAAGGAGGAACTCAAGCTCCGCCATTCCGTCCACGCTCTGCCCGACCAGGAGGGGCAGCGTGTCTGGAGGGAGCGTGCCCGGGAGGATGGGCGCATGCGAGACAAGAAGTTCGGCCTGGCGTTCTCCGACAACACTCTGGCCGAGCATGGATGAGTGCAAGGGCGCGGCACTTCGAGTTCTGGGCCCGCGAAGCCTCCTGGTTCATGTGCACAGAGTGTCATCGGCTGGAGCCTCGGCCGTTCCACCAGTCCAGCCACGACAAGAACACCCAGCTCCGAGCTCGCCAGAAAAAGTGCAAGCACTGCGCCCGGGGCATTGGCTACAAGGCACCCAGCATCAGCGACATCCCGGAGCCGCTTCGAGATCTCACGGCTACTGCTTTGTGGGCCCTGCGTCCCATCGAGATTGATGTGGGGGAGTACCGCCGCGGGGACTACGGCTACCGCATCACACGGACATGACCCGGCTACGCTGGCGCCCCCAGAGCGTCCAGGACCAGGTGGCCAGCCTGCGTAGCCCGGGAGGCGTGGCGGTTCCTTCGCTCGCGCCCTCTACCGACCCCAGTCAGGACGTGGAAAGAGCACACGCAATTCTTCCGTCTGCGCCCCAGCTACTCGGCCTACCTGTCCTTCGTGGCGCAGCACGATCTGTTCTTGGCCCAGACTGGTCCGCAACCAGACAAGTCGGCCCGACGCCTGCCGGTCCGCTTCCTGGAAACTCTGGGACTGGAGACTGCTCTGTGGCCCCACCTTTACCCAGCGGTCGCCCTCTGCGAGACTTTTGTGCGGCTGGAGGATGGGCGTCGGGTGGCGCGCGAACGCAGTGACATGCGGGCAGCACATGCTCAGCGCCAGCAAGCACAGCGGCGACAAGCCAGCCATGCGGAGCCCCAGATTTCAGACACAGAGGACGAGGAATCTGGGTCAGACGTTCAAGGGGAGAGAGCGGAAGAAGAGGAGGACGACATGGAGTCGCCCCTACACTTCCTGAAAGACTCCG